GAAGATTTGGGTCTCGCGTCGCTGCTGATCAAAAGTGCCAATGGACACGCACATGCCGTGTGAAGCCTAGCGTGCTGGGGGAGCACAGGGATTGACGTCGCCGCCCCAGGGACCGCAGCAGGACCACGATCGTCGTGATGGGTGCGCCGAAATGGGTGGCGCCGCCATGCGGGCCCTGCCACTGGGGCCGCAGTGGAGCTCGCGATGGGGCCACGATCTTTGCGAGCGGTGCGCCGAAATCGGAGGCGTGTGCGGCATGCGTCCGTGCCCACTGAGGCCACTTTTGGAGCGTCCTCTGGGGGCACGATCCTCGTGATGGGGTGTGCCGAAATGGATACGCGGAGAGGAGAGGGAGGAGGAAGGACGGGGACGCGCGCGATGCGGATTCAAAACGAGGGCCCACTAAACAATAAGGCTGTGACGGCAATTTAGGTTTTTGACCGTGACGTCCCCATCTGGCAGAGGGCGCGCCCGATTAACATAATGTTGCGGGACTTCTGCGGGAAACTGCCAAACCAATCTCAATGCTCATCGTAATACTCGCGTTCTACTCGCTCCACGGAGCTCGTCTGATAACATGTATATATACAACGTATGACTATGCTGGTGTGCTCACATATCTGTACATCTGTATGGACAGACACATATTTATACATGTATATATATGGCGACATAAGATATATATATATATGTATATATATACATATATGTATATATAACTATACATATATATATATATGTATATTTAGGAAGAGCGAGAAAGAGAGAGAGAGAGAGAGAGAGTGTGAGACAAGGATGTGATGCAAAGAAGGGCTGGTTAGGCTTAGAGAGCGCGCCGTTTCGCTGTCCGCACTCGAAGTCCCTCAGTGGCGCGAGCTTTCCCCGACCTCGCTGCCGGCCGCTGCCTTCGCAGCCCCTGCCCCGCAGGACTCGATGTGGCGGCGCCTCTCCCGGACCTGGTGAGCACATTGACGCAGGTAGTCCTGGAACCGGAGGCTCTGCAGCTCCAAAGAATCGACCATCGACGCGAGCTCGTCGTCGCTCGCCTTGCGCGCGCCTGCAGAGGGCAAAAAGTCCGCCCCCATGATAATCACCCCGACAAGCGAAGCCGGTCGGTAAACGCTCCCACGGAAGGAATCCAGCAGCAGGGAAAGGGTTTTGGTAAACGCCCAGGGCCGTTCAGAAAACACCAGCTGTCCAGTCCGGGTGGTTCTTCTTCCCTCGAGCCTGGCGCCAGCGCTTGGTCCGCGTCGGCAGCGGTGGTGGCGGCGGTGCCGCAGTACCTCAGAGGGTCGTAGGCGGCCCGGCTTCGCCGAGGAGGGCGTCCGAGCTCGGGCCAGACGTGCAGGTCGCCAGGCCCGGAGCCCTTGGCCCAGCAGTCGTCGGCAGTGCCGCCAGGGCTCCCCTGGCCGCTGGGGCTCTCTGGCAGGGCTCGCCTCCTCATCTCGTCAACCTGGGAGCCCAACACACACTCGCTACTAACAAAATCACGACGGGAGGTTTTGCTCTATGCTTGGCCTGCCAGGGCCCTTCCCGGGCCTCGGGACCGTCAAAAAACGACTCAGGATGAACAACAGGTTCCCGGGAAGGGCGTCAGACTTCTGAGGGGCACGCCTTGAAAAAAATCACGACGTCGGGGGTCTGTAAGACGGGAGGCGAAGATGGCCTCAGCCCTGGGAGGCCTTCACGGACCCACCCCTCCTCTTGCGGTGACACTCTAACGATTTAGCCCCCACGCCTGGGGCCGAAGTGTTGTCCCCGCTTCCTCGTTTCCAGAGTCTTACCTCGATTCCATGTCCTCGACATCCCCGAAGCAACGAAGTTCTCATCTTTGCAATAAATGTATATTGCTTCTTGATGTGGATTCGCGGAAAATGCCCACATCAACAGATGTGCTATGGATATGCAGCGTAACCTCAAGAGGTCCTGAACTATCTTCAGTAATGGGCAACCGATTATTTTTCCACGGGCCAATTGAGGATTAACGACATACCAACAATACTCGGCAACTAATGGTTCCGCCGCCGCCGCCTTTGTCGCCGTCCCCCCCACCGTCACAATTGTTGTCGTCGTCGTCGTTGTGATAGTCGTCGTCGTCGCTGCTGTCGTCGCCGAACTACAACTACCACTACTACTAAAACTACTGCTACTACTACAGATACTACTACTACTACTACTACTACTACTACTACTACTACTACTACTACTACTAATACTACTACTACTACTACGACTACGACTACGACTACGACTACCACTAATACTACCATTACTACTTCTACTACTGCAAGTACTACGGCTAGCAACAGTAGTACTAGTACTACAACGACTACTACTACTACTACCACTACTACTACTACTACTACTACTACTGCTGCTGCTACGACTACTACTACTACTATTACTACGACTAGCAGTAGTAGTAGTAGTAGTAGTAGTAGTAGTAGTAGTAGTAGTAGTAGTAGGTATGTAGTAGTAGAGTTTAGCAGTAGTAGTAGTAGTAGTAGTAGTAGTAGTAGTAGTAGTAGTGGTAGTAGTAGTAGTAGCCGTAGTAGTAGTAGTAGTAGTAGTAGTAGTAGTAGTAGTAGTAGTAGTAGCAGTAGTACGACTACTACTACTATGTCTACTACGACTACTACACATATTACTACTACTACTACTACTACTACCATGGCTCATGCTATTATTACTATTACTACTACACCTAGTGCTACTTCTACAACTACACCAACTACTACGACTACTACTACTTCTGCGACTACCACTACCAGTGCTACTACTACTACTACTACTACTGCTACTACTACTACTACTACTACTACTACTACTACTACTACTACTACCTCTACCACTGCTACTACTACGGCTACTACTACGACGACTGATATTAATTCAACTACTGTTACCACTACGACGACGACTACGACCACTAATACTACTGGCGCTACTACCACTTCTACGGCTGCTACTTTTATTACTACTACTAGTTCGACTACTACGACTACTCCTACTGCTACTACTAAGAATGCCACTGACAGTAGTACGAGTGGTAGTAGTAGCAGTAGAAGTAGTAGTAGTAGTAACAGCAGTAGAAGTAGTAGTAGTAGTAGTAGTAGTAGTAGTAGTAGTAGTAGTAGTAGTAGTAGTAGTAGTAGTAGTAGTAGTAGCTAGTAGTAGTAGTAGTAGTAGTAGTCGTAGTAGTAGTAGTAAAGTAGTAGTAGTAGTAGTAGTAGTAGTAGTAGTAGTAGTAGTAGTAGTAGTAGTAGCAGAAGTAGTAGTGGTAATAGCCGTAGTAGTATAGAAGTATTTAGAAATAATCGTAGTAGTGGTAGCACTTGTAGTGTTACTTACTACTACTACTACTGCTGCTCCTACTACTGCTACTACTACCGCTACTACTTCTACTACTACTGCTTCTACTACTAGTGGTATCGTTACTATATGTACTCCTCCTACAACTACTACGACGACAGCTACCGATACTACTACCACTACGACTACCACTACTACTACTACTACTACTACCACTACTACTACTACTACTGCTACTACTACTGCTACTACTACTACTACTACTACTACTACTACTACTACTACTACTAGTACTACTACTACTACTACTACTACTACTACTACTACTACTACTACTACTACTACGGCTACTACTATTCCTACTACTACCACGACAAATACTACGACTACGACTAATACTCCAACTTCTACTACTTCTACTCCCTCTACTTCTACTACTACTCCTCTCAAGGCGACTACTACTACTGCTACTACTACAACTACAGCTACTACAACTACAACTACTACTACTATTATTACGGCTACTAGTACTACTATTACTACTAATACTACGACTACTACTACTACTACTACTACTAAAACTATTACTACTACTACTACTACTGCTACTACTACTACTACTACTGCTACTACTACTACTACTACTACTACTACTACTACTACGACGGCTACTACGGCTACTACTACTCCTACCACTACTAGGCTACTACTACTACTACTACTACTACGACGACTCCTACTACTACTACTACTACTATTACTACGATTGCTACTACTACCAACTACTACGACTGCTGCGACTGCTACTACTACGGCTACGACTGCTGCTACTACTACGAATACTAGTATTACTTTTTTTATTACAACTGTTGCTATACTGGCTACTACGACTACTGCGACGACTACTACTACAACAACTACTACTACTACTACTACCACTACGACGACGAGTATGACTACGACTACGACTACGGCTACGACTGCGACTACTACTACTACTGCTGCTACGACGACGACGACGTCTACTACTACTACTACTACTACTACTACTACTACTACTACTACTACTACTACTACTACTACTACACCGACTACTAGTACCATTACTACCACTACTACTCATACCAAGTACTACTGCTACGATTACTACGACTGCTATTCACATTACTGGTACAACCACTACGACGACTGTTACCGACGACGACGACGCTTAGAACTACTATGACGACGACGACGTCGACGGGAAGGGCACGGACTTGTACTACAAACTTTGTACTCGCAGACACGGCTTCTCTCTATCGCGTAGGGCAGCCCCGGGGGTGATATCCGCCAAGAGAAATAACAACCGAACAAAATAACAGCACGGCGAACAATACTTGGCTAATAGTTCCGCCGCCGACCTCCTCAACTAATTCCCAAGCCAAAGCTTGGGGGGGGGGCTGCAAGACTGAAGGCATCCTGCGGTCATGTGCTATGCATGGTGACATTTTTTGGGGGTCTCCACTGCTTCCCCGGAATACGCGCGAGGATACGGCGTCCTCACGCGGCGGCCTACACACGCCGCCAACACAGCACACCCCGTGGAGACGAGGGCGCTCACGCAAGGCCTCACGCCGGCAACTCACGGTCGACGGTCCACGCAATCGACCACGCTTTCGTGTATCGGAGGCTCGGGGTGAGATCTTACTGGAACGGAAAGCCTTCGCACCGGGAAATCGACTTCGGTTTCGTGTTCGTGTCGTGCGTTCGGGCGATGCGAACCTGCGTGGGCGCGCGAGAAGAATGATGCCGCCATGAATAGGGGCTGTGGAACCGATTGTCCGCCCCTCCCCCCCCTGGCGCGCGGTGGCCAGGGGTGTCCCGTCGGTGGCGCGTCGGTGTTCCGTCGGTGTTCCGTGTCCAGGAGCAGGGCGGCGCGAGTTAGTGTCGGGGATCATACCGGCGAGATCGATGGTAAGCTCGTTTGGGTTATCGATTGTGAGATCCGTTGTGAGATCGAGAGTAAGATCTGTTGTGACATCGATGGAGAGATCGCCTGTGAGATCTATAGTGTGGTCAAAAGTGCGATCGACTATTGGGAGATCGATTGTGAGACTTATAGTGGGAACTGTTGTAATTAGTGAGGCCGAATGTGAGATTGATCATGAGTTCGATTGTTAAATCGACGGTGGGATCGATTGGGGAATAAATGGTGCGATCTGTTGTAAGATCGATCGGGAGATCGGTTTTGACATCGATTGTGAAGTCGATAGAGATCGAGTGAAATTTGTAATGCGATCGATAGGTCGTCGTGAGACGATCGTAGTGAAATGCCTTGTGAGGTCGATCATGAAATCTCGATCGATAGTGAGATCTCGTGAGAGCTCTACAGTGAGAACGACAGGAGATCGAACACAACGGATGCCACTATTCATGGGTCCTTTTCGTGCCCGCTCCAGCGATGGCGAGCATTGCTATCGTAGTCGTGTGGCCCAAGCAAGCTTTACGAACGAGCCTTTCCACCGTGCTGCGGAGAATCCATGGGGCAATCTTTCTTGACTCCCAATGTTTCGATCATGCCGTCCCTCATCTCTGGAGAGCGCCGGGTGGGATGACAAACGACAACACTCATCGCGACCAACATCATCATCACGCGTCGTCGCCAACCCGAGGGCGCATCACCGGCATCGTCCTCATCACAACCACCAAGATTGCAATCAGTCGGTTCTTCCCCCTCCAAACCTCCTGCTCACCCGAAGAGTGGTCGTATAGGTATATCTGTATATCCACATGATGTTAATCGAGTTATGCGGATCTAGATGTTTGCCTGCATGAACCCCAAACGGTGAGATATTGCAACAGGCATGCGTCCGTAGAGTATGTGGTGCAAACTCTGTGGTACAAGCTATGTCGTCTATTGTGAGTTGTGCAGGCTATGTTGTGCATTCTATTTGGTACAAGCAATGTTGCAATGTGTATGTTGCGTGATCTGTGGTGGAAGCGGTGTTGTGCGAACTAGCTGGTGCAGACTAACTGATGCTCGAACAAGCATCCCACCCACTCACCCGCGACTTGTTAGCAACAATCAACTGGCGTAATCAACTGCGGACCCTTCTCATGCAAATGATGATTGTGGCGCTGATGCATCATGATGGTGATGACGCCGGAAAGGGCGACGACGACGACGATTGTGATGAACCTTATGGTGACGATAATGACGGTGACAATGGTGACGCTCGCTGGAAATGATGATGACGACGATGCTGGGGAGGATGATGAAGAAGTGAGCGCGCGCAGGGAATTTGGAATTGGTGGCATTTCTTATGTGGAGCAGCCATTGGGTGGCTATACGGTTGAACGCCTTCGCGGTGAGCTGCTTAAGCCACACACGGTATTGGAATTATCTCGACACGCGCGCGCGGAGACCTGCGCGTGTGGCGCGCAGTGTACTTAGCCTTTGACATCATTAGCGGGTGCGCGATGATGGCTTGATGTTTCCGACATGTGCGCGCGCGTGCGGCCAGCATGCTCTCCTTGGACATGTTGGCCAGGCACCGATGGCCGTCTCATGACTTCAACAGCTGCGCGCGGGCAGACTTCTGGCAAATCGTAATTGGACAAACCAATGGTGTTTGACAGTCTTCGAGTCGCACTGCTTTAGAATTGTGATATCAACTGCTGTTGTGAATGGCTTTGGCATGCGCGCGTGGGGGCCCGCGCATGTGGCCCGCATGGTGATATTTGATAAGAACTGTTACGACACGCGCTTCCTACATCAACATGTGTGCGCTACTCTGTATGTCTGACAAGAGACGAAAAAGGGGGGCAGCGGGGATGGGCGATACCGGCTTGGCTTGCATGACACTATGTGGAGTCCAGGATGCAAGGCCGTGCATCATAAACACGGAGAGCAGCATGCGAGGGTGGTGGGTGGGAAGTGGAGTCTAATTTTTCGTAAGATGTTAGAAACAAAAATCTGCAACGGACCCACCGTGGGCGCCCACTGGCGCCCGCCGGGCGAGACCTCGCCGGACCCAGCCAGCGCAGGGGGCGCCAGCGAGGGGCCCACCAGGCAAAACCTGGGCGGACACGGCCAGCGCACGGGGCGCCCACGAGGCGCCCACCGGGCGAGACCCTGGCGGAGCCATCGAACTATTTACCTACCAACACAAGTAAGAACCCCTAACTGCAAGCGCTGTTTGGGTAATCTGTGTGCATCTTATGTATAGATATATACATACATACATATACATATATACATGCACACATGCATACATACATACGGTCGGGGACTTTTGCTTAGAGTGTCGCGGCGGCGGCCCTGGCGACACGCTATGTTCTGCGAGCCGCGGGGCTGGAACCTGGGAAAAGCTCGGGACGTTGACACTTGGGGGAAAGAACGTGGATAGCGTGTCGCGCCGAAGAGTGGTGTGCCAGAACTGGCGGCGCGACAGGCCAAGCCGTAGTGCCCGACCTTCTATCTATATAGATATGATATATGCACACCTATATACTTTGTACATGGATCTGCAAATATGTTTTCGTACGAAAGAATGAATCTAACGGGCGATTCATGGAAGCCGTCCCGTCCCGTGCGCTACTCGTTTGTCGTTGCGCTCGGAGCATCCGCGGCATTTGGAAAATCGACCGCTCTCCACTCGTACTTCCACAAGTTTGAAATAAAGCCTTCAAACACACACTGAAGTTCAATGCTTTGGGACGTTGCTCTTAGAAAAACAACCGTTTCGCCTTATTGGGACATTGATGAGTCCCGGCGTGTCGTATTATTCAACGCTGCAGGTTCTCTCAAGACATCATCCAACAATTGGCTTCGGAGCTTAGTGTCGACTGCATTCGCAAGATGTGGAGCACCCTTCTCCGCCACACACGTCGCAAGGTGTGGCAATGCTCTCTTCGTTCGACTGCGATCCCGCTGTTGCACCTCCTTCCCAACAGCCCCCAGGTGATCCTTCTGATCCTCCTCCTTCTTTTCTTCTTCCTCTGCTTCTCCATCTGCCTCCTCCTCCTCCTCCTACTCCTCCTCCTCGGATCCGACTTCTTTTTCCTCTTCTTGTCCATTGTCATATGGTTATGTCCACATATTAATGCAACTATCGCTCACCTGTGCGCCGAGCCGCTCCACCTCCTGCAGCATGGCGCCGAGGGCTGGGCTCGGCGCCCACTTCAGCTTCTCCGCCACGGCGGCGGCACCCGCGGCTTTGGCGCCCTTTCAAGGAACAACGCGGCAAACGGGCACTTTGGGTTCGTCGGCGTTGGACGGCTGGCAGTCCGATGCTCCCCGGGGGCCAACGACGACGAAGGGTAAGCACCGAACAAATCACCTCTGTGTTGCCGGTTGTTCCCTGGCCTTCGGCCCCTTCTCCTGCGGTCCCTCTTCCTGGCCAGTGGCCCTCGAAGCTGGCTCCTTGGGCGGCGTCATGGGGCACCCGAGAAGGCCGCGGCCAGACTCGCCCGACGACTGCCCCGCGGCGCGGCCAATCGGCTCAGGCGTGGCTGTCGCGCTGTCCGCAGACCGACCAGTCTTCTGCGATTGCAGGCTGGCCTCCGGCGACCAGCAGGCTGCCACCGCTGGGGGGCCCCAGCGAGGCTGCCGAGCGGCCTCTGAGCCTAGCGGCGCGCACGCCGGGCGCGTGGCGCTGACGTCGCTGGCGAAGCCGTCTGGCCCAGCTGGATCCGCGTCCGCCCGCGACGTGGGTTCAGGCACGGCGGGCCCGATCTTCCCCCCGTGAGGCTGCTGACGGTGCGGCGGCGGCGGCGGAGTCGCGTGGGCATCTGACCGGTGGGCTCCGCCGCAGGGGCCGAGGGGCTGCTGCGGCGCGGGGCGGCGCGGTCCTGCCTGCTCCGGAGGAGGGGGCGGCTGAGCACGGCTGCTGCCAGCACCTCGGGCATGGGTGCGCGCGGGTTCGGACCTGGCACAGCTGCTGCCAGCACCTCGGGCATGGGCGCCCGCGGGTTCGGACGCATCCTGGGCCTCCAAGGCAGCATTAGCGAGGGAGCCCTTGTCGCCTCAACCCCAAAAAAACATGGGGGGGCCCCAGGCTGGAGGCGGCCAGGGGGCCTGAACCTGTGGGGACCCCAGGAGAACGGCAAGGAGGGGGGATGCGGCCAACTCCGCTCGGACTCAGTCCCTAGGGACCCCTCTCGGGGTGCACCCGGTGTAGGTTTTCACCCCGGGCCTGTTCTTGACAAGCCTGGAGCCCGAATGGAGCCCGAAAGCGGCCCCCATGGAGCCGAAACAGGCAAACGGACCTCCCCGAGCCCAGCGCCTCGCACCTGCCCGCCCTTCGTGCTGGCCAGAACCAGTGCGGCGTCAAACCGCCAACGGGCCCCAGGCCCTGTGGGCATGGGGCTCCAGAAGCCCGAGTCGCTCGCTTCCAGCCGCTTGCCCCCCGGTCCGAGCACCGCTCGCGGGCGCCGCTGGCGGCGTGTGCCATGCACGCCCTCCCGCGCTCCAGCCGCTCGTGCCCCATGGGCCCGGGCGATCGCCGGCAGCGCCCTGGCCCAGCTCGGGGGACTCGCCGGGGATCGGCGCCCGGAGCGGCCGCGCGGGCGAGGCGAGCGCGCCCGCCGAGGCCCGCGCGCCGCCGAGCGCGCGGGGGCGCGCGGGCGTGGCCGGCCTCTTCCCTGCCGCCGGCGGGGAGGACTGGCCGCGGCCGAGGCCCGGGCTGCCGGCGCCCCGACCAGCCGCGCGGGCGGCGGCCTTGCCCTGGGCGCACGGCGGCCGCGCGGGGGCGGCTGCGCGCGCCGGGCTGGCCGGCTGCTCTGCAGGGCCCGCCGCCTGCGCCGCCTGCTCGGCAGGGCCCGCCCGCCAGCGCGGCGGGGCGGTCCCAGGTCTCACCCTCCCCGGGGGCGACGACGGGGGCGAATGGCCCAGGGGAAAGCACTGCGGTCGGACTAGATCGGACAGGGCACGCGAGAGGACACAAGAGACCCTTCCGAGGGCCGCATTGCCACAGGAGTGCAGGAAGCATGGGTCGCGATCGACACAGGACACAAGGGTACCCTTGAGATGGCAGGGTCGACCTACCAATCTGGGCCGACACTACATGTATCCAGAGGCGCCGATGGTCCATGCCCTCGGCAAGGCTCCCGGGCGAGGGCATGTAACATGCCCGCCCCCCCAGACCCCAGACGTCATGATTTTTTTATGACGCGACCCCCAGAGGTCCGGACCCTTTCCCCATGACCGGTTTTTCACCCCGAGTCGTTTTTTGACGCTCCCGAGGCCCGGTGAGGGCCCCTGGAGGCCGAACATGAAGGAAAACCTTCCGTCGTGATTTTTTCATGACTCGAGGGGGTCTGGGCCCTGGGCTACTCGCCCCTCTCGTCGCCTCCGAGCCCTCGCGCTGGCGCCGGCGGACGCCGCGGCCGGCCGTGCCAGCGATCCGCGAGCCACGGCTCGGGCGCCCGCCGACCTCGGCTCCCGCTCGGCGGGCTCGGCCAGCGCGCCAGCGCCGCCCGGCCACCACCACGCGGCGGCGCCGCCGCATCGCTGGCCGAAGGAGTCGAACCTTCCCAGACATTCGATCAGGGGGGCGAAAGACCCGGGTACAGGGGACTCGGAACTCCCCGACGAGGTCGTCAACAAAAATGACGAGGCCGAGCCTGCATTTTGACGGGGCCTCCCGCTGCAGACATCCCACGAAACTCCTCCTCGTAAAAATCCGAGGCGCGGTCGTCAAAAAACGATGGCGAACCCGAGTCCTGGCAAACCCAGGTCTTACGCTCCCCCGATTCGACGTCTTGACTTTTTCAGTGCGCGGCCCCCGGAAGTGCCGACCCTTCTCAAAGGCCGCTTGTTCATGCCAGGCCGTGCCTTCACAGTCTAGGGGGTCCGCGAGGGCACACGAAGGCCAGCCCAGAACACTCCGTCGTTTTTGTTTGTTTGTTCTGATTGCTTTTTCTTCTTATCGCGTCGCGAGCACGCCTGGGTTGACAGCCTGGACAGCTGCCGGCCCGAAGAGGCCAGCACGGCCCGTCCGTGGGGCCATCGGGGAGCTCTCGCGTGCCGGGCCCCCCGGGGGCTGTCAACGAATGTGCCGATGCTGAGAGGTATTGGCGTCCCATTGCGCCGGCCTTGCAGACGTGCTGCAGCGAATTTCTGCGTGGATTTCTGTCCAGAGCGGCGAGCGAACGAAATTCACCTCAAAACCCGGAGCGAAATTCTCCAGGACACTCCGGGCCCACCAGTTCGGTTTCCGAGCGAAATCCGCTGTGCGATATTGGCGCGGTGAGACTCGTGAGACGTCGGCAGTCTGGGGAGCACGGCGTCAAGGACGTGATCACGGGGCAGAAATTTCTCCCGCGGGAGGGGCTGGGGCCACGATCACTCTCGGCTGGAAGCTCCTCCACCCACGCTTACACGAGATCAGCCGTAGCATCGCAACATCGTGACAAGTCACATCCAGGGCCCTCGACCTCTCCTTCCTGGGGCAGCCCTCGAGCAAGATAGATCCATGAGGACCCCGCGGTCCGAAGCTGGGAGGAAACGCCAAGTGCAGACATCTGCGACGCCTGGATCTCATGGCTTCTCCACGCGGAAGCCTTGCGCGTCCTGGGCCGCCACTGGCGGCGCGGGCGCAGACGGCCTCGTGCACGGGCAGGCGGTCCTGGCGGAAGCTCCGCCCGCAGAAGCCGCAGCGGCGCAGCCGAATCTCCTCTGACGGGAACTCCTCCAGCGGCTCCGTCCTCGGGGCCATCCAAAGCAATACAGCGATAGAGGCCCCTCCTCCCTCGGGGAAGTGGGAGCGAGGAGGAGGGGGGGCGACCAGCTGGGTGCCCTCGCGCCATATCTGACAGCCTACGCCTCCCTGCCATCCCGTCCGCCGACAAGCGTCATGGCGGACCTGATACCCCACAGGTGCCCGTATCGTGTTATGCACAATCAGCAAGGGGGATTTCTGTACATTGGCGGAGGATGAGAAGGAGAAGGAGGAGGAGGAGGAGGAGGAGGAGGAGGAGGAGGAGGAGGAGGAGGAGGAGGGAGGCCCAGATGGCGGAAGAGCAGCAGCAAAAACAGGACGATGATGAGGAGGAGGTGGAGGAGGAGGAGGGGAGGAGGAGGTGAAGGAGGATGAGGAGCAGGAGGAGAAGCAGGAGGTGGAGGAGGGAGGAGGAGGTGGAGAAGGAGGAAGGAGGGAGCAGGAATGAGGAAGGAGGGAGGAGGAGGAGAAAAAGGAGGAGGAGGAGGAGGAAGAGGAGGAGAGGAGAGAAAGAGGAGAGGAGGAGGAGAAAGAGGAGGAGAGGAGAGGAGGAGGAGGAGGAGGAGGAGGAGGAGGAGGGAGGAGGAGGAGGAGGAGGAGGAGGAGGAGGAGGATCAAGGGAAGGCGGGGGAGGGGAAAGGAGGGGTCGACAACGACGAGGAATGGGACGACAGCGCCATTCTGAACGACGGACGCAAAGCGCGGATCCTGAAATGATGCCAGCGCTGCAGCGGGAACCTATTCTGAAGAACACAAAGACGGTCAAACCGAACAACAACACATTTACTGCAACACCTCTTCAAAACCCGGTGTGAAGTCGCACTATGCTGGACGAGGGCTCCCGCTCGAACATAATGATTCTGTCCGAGCGGGGGCCCTCGGGTTCTGTCAGAATCTCGGGATAGAGGAGAGTAGTACTCATGTTGAGTAACCGTAGATTTCCAATGGGGGACCTCAGGAAAACCTAAGGCAAACTGTAATACAATCAGGGAATACCGAGCCCCGCCCCATCTGTGAAATTGCTTTACTGCTCTACACAAGGTTCGAGGTGAATGGTGCTTTTCGTTTACGTGTTGTCTTCTTTCTCCTCCGTTACGCCTTCGCTCTTCCTTTGCCGCGGCAGCGAACCAAGACGAAAAGGGTAAATATACGAAATCGCCAAAACTTAGTATTTCGCTCGAGCCCTGCTCTACACTTATGGCCATGCCTTTCGAGGGACAACTTTTGAGACACATGTGCGCGGCGCCGAGGCGAGAGTCCCACCTTGAAGCCGCCCGCCCTCCACCCTTGTACCGGCGGCGAGCGAGGGGGCTTCAGCTTGAGCAAGGTCTGACAAGCGATCGCCAAGCAAGACTTGCTAGCATACTGTTAGGACGAGCGTGCGCGGGCGCCGCGGGGAGAGTCCCACCTTGAAGCCGCCCGCCCTCCACCCTTGCACCGGCGGCGATCGAGGGGGGACGTGAGAAGGAGCAGGCCTTCCCAGAAAACGGTGGGGGGGATTTTCCGAAACCCTCGCGCCTTTGAGAAGTCCCTGTGTCTCTCGGCAAGGCTTAGAAGACTTCTCAGAAGGCCGGGGGGCTCCCGAGCCGTCTAAGAAGGCCTTATCTTTCTCACTTTCCCCACGGGCTCGCCGCCGATGGTGATTCCCCCGACGGCGACATGAACCAATTACCCCCGGTGCGACGAAAACTTTTGCCAAGGCAATCTGCGTTCGTCACGGTCTGTCTCTTGGGGGTGGTGAGCCTGCCAGGGGGTCTGCAGAACATCGTATGCATGGTGTGTCCAGACATGATTCACGACGATGGCGATGACGATGACGATGACGGAGAGCGATGATGATCATCGTCATTGTCATCGTCACTGTCGTCGTCGGCGGTCGAAACAGATGCGCGCAGAGCGAGGGCGGGACGCGCACTCCGAGAAGCGTCCCGCCCTGCATCCGTGCAAGGCGGATGCTTCAACATGCTGTGGAACGAGAGCGCGCGGCTCTCGGGCGCGAGAGCCCCGCTCTGCAGGTCACCCGCTCTCTCCGCACGCTTGCAGAGCGACGTGCGCAGAGCTGCGGCGAGAGCTTCGCGCTGATCGCCCCCACCTCCATCCCCGTAACTGTTGCGCGCTCCGGCACGAGTGTGCGCGGCGCTGAGGCGAGGGCTCCTTTCTGAAAACGGCCCGCCCTGGGCTTTCATGTCATACGTTGTGAGGCAGTCTCAAGCAAAACGAATAGCCCGTCCCACCGACGCGTCTGGTGGTCAGACGATGAGGAGTTGTCTATGAGGAGTGACTCCGACGGAAGGACCCCGCATGATAATCCCAAAACGAATCTGACTGTAAACCTCATCGTCGTCCTTGTGAATGCAGGAGCTCTCTTCCCGTCTCCTCATCGCACTTTTCCCTGTTTGCCCTTGCGGAGGCACCCCCTGCTCTTGCCCCTTCTCGCCCTCCTGCCTCTTTCCCCGCGTCCACCTCCTCCCGAGCCCCTCTAGCAAGGGCACTCGAGTCGATTTCAGCATGGCGCCGTCGCCGCATCGGTCGGCAGGAGCTCGGTTTCCGATGGCCACATCGCAAGCCGTTGGGGCAAGCCCGCGGGCCAGGTCGCTGAGACCAACACCGTCGGGCTGCTGGGGTGCGAGATCAAGCCGTTGGAACAAACCCGCGGGCTTCTAGCTGCGCGCCGCGGCGCTCAAGCGGGACGCAGCACGAAACCAACATCTGCGGGGAGCTGCTCGGCCTCATCCCTGGAGCTCTCCACTTTCTCGTCGAACATCCCGAGCGTCTTCCGCAAGGACGCCGGCGGCCCGCGCTCCAGAAACTCGCGCGAAGGCGGCCGCAGGATCAAGGGATTGGCCCTGCCCCCGATTCGGCCGAGGATGGGTTATCACCCCCAGCCCGGACACAAGGGTTTCCCCCTGCGCCCGATGAGTTACCCGCTTCGGCCGAGGATGGGTTACCACCCCAAGCCCAGACGCAAGGGTTTCCCCCCAGCGCCCGATTCGGCCGACGATGGGTTACCACCGCCGGCCCAGAGACAAGGGTTTCCCCCTGCCCCTGGTTCGGCCGCCGATGGGCTACCACCAGCGGCCCAGACACAAGGGTTTTCACTTGCGCTCGCTTCGGCAGCGGATGGGCTACCACTCGCTGCCAGGACACAAGGGTTTCCCACTGTGCCCTTCCGCCCATTCGTCGTCGTCATCGTCATAATCCCGTGCAGTGCCAGTAGCACTGAACCCTTCGGGAATCGCGCCGGATTCGAACGTGAACTGTGGGGCCCTTCGAAAGGGCGCTCCCGCCTGAGACGAGGCTCCTGCGTGAGACGGCCCCCAAATTCAAACCTCAAGAGCCCAAAATGACGACAACTACAGGATTCCGATGAACCGCCTCGGATTCGAATATGAGCTACGGGCCCCATACCGAACGGGTTCCCGCCTGATGCTTCCTCGCAATTCACTCACAGACGGGGCTCCCGCCTGAGACGTCCTCCATGCTCAAGCCTGACGAAGCCAAGAGTGACAACAGTTAATGTCTAAACACGGTTAAACAAATGATGCCCCCCCTCCCCCCACCCCGGATCCCGACTGCCATTAATTCGCATCCGATTCATTTTTTTTTGTCCGTCCTGTCCCCCCTGGAAAAAATTCCATGGATGCCGATCGATGCCACTTGTATACACCTCGGCACCAGGGAAAATGACGACGGGGATGTTCCCGTCTCCCGATCAGAGAATGAATTTTTACATGGGGTTTTCGCCATTGGGTTTTGGAGTTCAACCTCGCTCCCGTGGTATACAATCTATCAGCGGTATGCCGCCGCCGCGCGCGCGCGCGCGCGCGTTGGCGATTGTTATTTGGGCGTTCAATGTCGTATGTCCACATGGGGATGTTCCCGTCTTCCGATCCGAGAATGATTTTTTACTTTTGGTTTTCGCCATTGTATTTTGGAGTTCAACCTCGCTCCCGTTGAATAAAACTTATCGGCGGCATGCCGCCGCCGCGCGCGCGCTGGCGACTGGCATTCGTGCATTCAGTGTCGTATATCCACATGAGGATGTTCCCGTTTTCCGATCCGAAAATGGATGTTTACAATGGGTTTTCGCCATTGGATTTGGGAGTTCAACATGGCCCCCGTTGTATAAAACCGATCAGTGGCATGCCGCCGCCGCGCGAGCGCGCGCGCGCGCGCGCGCGCGTTGGCGATTGACATTTGTGCATTCAGTGTCGTATATCCACATGGGGATGTTCCCGTCTTCCGATCAGAGAATGAATTTTTACATTGGGTTTTCGCTATTGGATTTTGAAGGTAAACATGGCCCCCCGTTGTATAACACCTATCAGCGGCATGCCGCCGCCGCGCGCGCGTTGGCGATTGGCATTTGTGCATTCAGTGTCGCATATCCACATGAGGATGTTTCCGCCTTCCGATTAAATAATGATTTTTTACATTGGGTGTTCGCCATTGGGTTTTGGAGTTCAACATGGCTCCCGATGTATAAAATCGATCAGCGGCATGCCGCCGCGCGCGCGCTGGCGCCTGGCATGTTTGCATTCAATCTCGTATATCCACATTGGGATGTTCCCGTCTTCCGAGCAGAGAATGAATCTTTACATTGGGTGTTCGCCATTGGGTTTTGGAGTTAAACATCGCCCCCGTTGTATACATTCTACCAGCGGCGTGCCGCATTTGCGCATCCAGTGCCGCATCGCAACCCAGACAGGGCGCGCGGTGCGCAGGGAGTGGTCCCTGAGCGCAGTCTCTATCCACGCTGGGGTCGCACGGCGTGGCAGGCGTGGCCTGACGCCAAGAGGGGGTGCGCAGGCATCTGCCCCTGCACGCAGGGCGCCAGGGCGGTCGCGGGGACGTCCCCAGCGATCCAGTTTGCCCCGCCCCCCTTCTGTTTTCTATAGGCGCACTACAGCGCTGGGGAAAACAATTTGTTAATTGTCTCCCCAACCTGATTTTTAAACAGTTTTTAGACATTACATGATTCCGATGACCCGCCTCGGATTCGAATGACTTGCGGGCCCCAGGGGAGGGGGATGGACGGGGGTTCCCGCCAGAGACGAGGGAGCCCCCGCCTGAGCCTTCCACGCAATTCACTCACTGAAGGGGCTCCCGCCTGAGACTTCCTCTAGGTTCAAACCTCAGGGGCCCAAAACTGACGACAGTTACAAGTTTGCGAACGACCCCCTGGGATTAAGAACGTGACCTGTGGGCCCCATGGGGAGGGGGTTTCCGCCTGAGACTTCCTCACAACTCACTCACAAACGGGGCTCCCGCCTGAGACTTCCTCTAGTATCAAGCCTAAGGGGCCCAAAAGTGACGACAGTTACAGGTTTGCGAACGACCCCCTGGGATTGAAAACGCGAAATGCGGGCCCCATGTTGAGGGGGCTCCTGCCTTAGACTTCCTCGCAATTCACTCACTGAAGGGGCTCCCGCCTGAGACTCTCTCTAGATTCAAGCCTCAGGGGCCCAAAAGTGACGACGGTTACAGGTTTGCGAATGCCCCGCCTCGGATTCGAACATGAGCTGCGGGCCCCATACGGAGGGGGCTCCCGCCTGACGCTTCCTCGCAATTCACTCACTGACGATGCGCCCGCTTGAGACTTCCTTCAGATTCGCGCCTCAGGAGCCCAAATATGAATGAGCGAGTGATTCAATGAGGAGCGACTGAGTGAGGATGATCGTGATCGTTGTCGTCATCATCATGCTCTTGATGAGCGTGTGAGTGTGCGAGTGTGAGTGGTGATGATGCGGATGATGGTGATGATATTAAATGAGTGAGTGAGTGAGTGAGTGAGTGGGAATGACGATGTTACTAATACTAATACTACAAATGATAATCATAATAATGCTAATAATAATGATGGTGAGTGTGTGAGTGCGTGTGTTGCTGCTCCTGATGATGATAGTGATGCTGCCGCTGATGATGAAGTGGGTGTGTTCTTGTTCTTGCGCGGTGGGGGTGCAGAGAAAACAAGACCCGACTTTGGATTTGGGGGAAAAAAGAAGAGAAATGTTTTGGCATCAGGAAGGGAGGATGATGATGAGGAGTAGGAGGAGGAAGAAAGGGAGGGTGAGGAGGCAAACCCCAGAGAGCGGCAGTGAGCTGCGATAGCGAGAAGCAAGGCCAGAATTTTGTGAAACGAATGGGGCAGCAAGGCAGATGTGTGAAACACAAATGAATGGGAAAAAGGAGGATTATGCAATCGAGCGCAAGAGCGAAGAGGAAACGCCCGGGAGGTACTCACCACAATCCCTTGATTACAATCGAATCCAATGTTCCCCCGATGCTTGGGTGGCACTCGAAGGACGATTACGGCAAATTCGTGTCGTGACGACTTGCGCGTTGGTTCCGGAACCCATGCGAACCGCCAAACCTGGGGCGATCGCGCCTTTGCGACAGCGCAGATCGCTCGCTGTCGGCCGACTCTGGGCCGCTGGCGGCCCTCAACCCTGCACGCCCGCGCCAGGGCCACAGCCGCGCCGACACGATGAGAACCTGCCCTCTCCCTGTGCTTCTCGCGTCCCAGGGGTCCACTGCCCCACAGTGGCGCCGCGCTCCGCAGAGGGAGGCTCCTCGGGCGAGCCCGCCTGATGCGCGGCCTGGGCGCTCCGGTGCTCGACTGGCGTGGAGGCAGCAGCACTGTACTCCTCTGCAGTCTCCTCGGCGTCCGCAAGCCAGCTGCGCTCTGCGCCACCGCCGAGGGCGCCCCGGTGCTTGTTCGGCGCGGAGGCAGCAGCATCGTGCCCCTCTGCAGTCCCCTTGGCGTCCGCCGGCCAGCTGCGCTCTGCGCCACTGCCAGGGAGTGCGCGCGAGCCGCTGAAGCTGGAGCCACCTGGGAGACTGTGCGGCTCCGTCCTCGGTGCGGCCCCCAGACGCAGAAGCGTTGTGACATTCGCCCCCGTCGTCCCTTGGGGAAGGGGGCCGGGGGAGGAAGAGGGTGGGTAAAAAGGTTGAATGGGACCCTGAGGGGGGAAAACGAATCTCACGATCCGTGGTTTTTAAGCGCCGCCCCGACGTCCACTGCCCCGCATGGGCGCCGCGCTCCGCAGAGAGTGGCTCCTCGGGCGAGCTCGCCTGATGCGCGGCCTGGGCGCTCCGGTGCTCGACTGGCGTGGAGGCGGCAGCACTGTACTCCTCTGCAGTCCCCTCGGCGTCCGCGGGCCAGCCGCGCTCTGCGCCGCCGCAGAGGCCGGCGCCCCGCTGCTCGACTGGCGTGGAGGCGGCAGCGCCGTGCCCGTCTGCGGTCCCCTCGCCCTGCTGCTGGCAGCTGCGCTCTACGCCACCGCCGAGGGGTGCGCGCGAACCGCTGGAGCTGGAGCCGCCTGGGAGACACCCCTCGCACCCCGCCGCTCTGGCCCTCCTTTCTCGCCCGTTCCCCTTCCCAGGATCGTCCAGGCGCGGGGCGTCCAAGGGGGGAGGCACGGGGGGGTGGCGAATCGTGGCCCAACGTGCGTGCGCGGGCGCGGCCCAGGGGGGTCCAGGGGACGTGTTGAAGTAAGGAGACGGAGCCATGAAATCCAACGGGACAGCGTGGCCTCGGCCATGATACCCCCCCCGTCATCACCGCCCCCCCTTCTTGGTCGCCCTCGACCCTCCCCTGGACCCGAGAAGGTGGAATGACCATCAGGGGCAGCGGTGGGTGCCAATCGGGTCCCTTCCCACCGCGGTTGCTGGCGGCGACCTCGGAGGGCTCCAGGCTGCAAAGGAACTGCGCGATGACCTCCGTCTGCTCTGCGTAAGACAACTCGGAGGACATGCCCGTGAGCTGGCCGCCGAGCTGCCGCGCGCTGGTGTAACGGTCGGGGCTCGCCGACGTGGAGCTCCCGATCGGCCACGGCGGCAGCTCAGGGGCCCCCCCGCCCAGACCCCTGCCGCACCAGCCGCTCAGGTCGGCGCTCTCTGCCACGCGCCAGGTCGCCTCCCCTGGGCCATCGGCTGGCCGGAACACGCTGGGGCTCGGCGTTGCCCCGCACGCGGCCCCCCTGG